GGAGGAAGGGCGCGCTCCGGGGCGGTGGCCCGGGCGTGGGGACAAGGCCAGCGAGCCAGGCGCCCCGAGGAGACGTCCAAGGACCCTGGCTGGCGCGGCCCCAGGCTGCGCGGCGGGCCCCTGGGGCAGCGGGTGTACTTGGCGCGGCTCTGTGCGTGCCGGGCGGCCCTTGGGGAACTGGGAAGAGACCTCAGCTAGGTGGGCAAACGGAAATTTCCTGGAGAATGCACCTGCCCCTATGTCCACTTCGACCCCCGGCTGTGCCCTCCAGCCCCGCCGCTATGTCAGGGGCCTTTGGGAGAGGGGCGTGGGAATCCCCCGGTACCCCGCCGTGTGGAGAAACTGCCGCCGCCCCTTCCCGGACGCGAGATGAAAGGACGCTCCGTCCCATTTGGTCACCCTGCACTCCGACCAGATGTGGTCCAGCTGTGCCCCTGCCCCGCCTTCCCGGCACCAGGCGGGCCCCCTCCCCGCCTTCCCACGGGCCTGGCCCGCCCCTCACACGAGCGGAGGCGGCAGGAATGCGGCCGTGCGGCCGGTGGCGGTGGGAGCGACGCCCGGCCCGGAAGTGGCCGTTACACCCCCTACTCCAACCCCCCACGGGAGCATGATCCCAGAGCCCGCGCGGTGCCTCTCCAGTTGCCATCCCTTCCAGGATTCCTCTGAGACCACCAAGCCCGGGGTCTTCCCACCCCTCCTGCGCATTCCCTGTCCACCACATTGAGGGGTCTGCCCCAGATGTCCTCTCCCCCACCCCCACCGTCGTCCCCTTCTAGCCCTGAACTAGGATAGGGATGCGCACTACAGTGGTCGTCCACCAAGGAAGCTGTGGGGGGGACACCCTCAGCTCCCCTTCTGGTGGGAAAGAGGAGGGGAAGGGGATTCCCAAGCCTCTTGCTGCTCTCACCCTCCAGGTAATGAGCAGGCGGCACCGCAGGTGGCGGGGTTGGAGCAGATGGTGAGGGCTGTGCCCAAGTGACAAGGCTCCTATGGAAGGCCTCCCGTGTCGACCCCTCCCCCACCGCCAGAGCCCCAGCCTGGGGCCTCCAGGCAGCTGGAGAGACCATTGGGGGTGTGGCAGGAGAGGGACTCTCATGACTGGGCGGCCAGACGGTCCCCTGAAGCCCCCCCCCACTCCCAAAGTCTATCCTCCCTTAGCTGAGCTGTTCTTGATTGCTGCAGTCCCCCCCACCCCATCACTTTTCAGTTCTACCCTGCTGCCCCATTCCCCGGCTTTCTCTACCCTGACATCCTCTACTCTCAGCAGCTAACCCTGAGCCCAACGCCCAGACCCATCACCATGCTGCCCCAATGCCTTTGACCTCAAGCCCTGGTTTCTCACTCTGGAACTTGGTGACCTGTTCCCAGCCCTCGCCCTGCCCCTAAACAGTCTGTGGCCCCCTGAAACTGTTGTCTCATGGGCTGTACCCCCCGTGTCTGGCTCTCTGAGGGCCCAAGAGCTAAGTGTCTCCAGGAGCAGTTCTGAGGTTGGGGGTCTGAAACCAGAGTCCTCGGAAGCCTTCTGGGGACTTGGAGGGAGGAGGCTGGCAGGCACGCCAGTCTCTGCAGTTTATGGGATGGTCTTCTCTATCTGTCTGTCTCTCTCCCTCTCCCCTTTGTATAGGACAGCACTCAGCCTGGTGGATTAGTGGTGGATACTGAGAGGTCAGAGGTTCGAGCCCACAGGCCAGACTGTCCACAGGAGGAAGACCAGGCTTCCCTAGAGAGTCCCAGCCTCGGCAAGGCCCCCACCCCCTCCAGTTCTACTCTGCCCTCGGGGTGGTTGGGAGTTAGCTGTGATGTCATCTTAAGGGAGCCGGTCCCTAAGACCCTGTGTCGTTAGGACTTCAGCAAGTCGTGTGTTTGTTGGGGAGACCCAGCGTACCCCCAGGGTCCCCGTAACTGGGATTCTGGTCAGTGATATTGGCAACCACCACGGTGCACGTCCCTTGAGAGCCTGGTGCAAGAGCAGAGGGTGTCCGAGCTGTGGCTGTCCTGCACAGCCGGTCATCTCCCCCTTGCACCAAGGCAAAGTGAGGCTGGGGAGGGCTGCTGCCCCAAGAGCTGGAGCTGGGCAGTGCGTGTGTTGGGGGGGGAGGGTCTTCACACACCTCTCTGCAGCCCAGCGCTGGTGGGGACAGAGGGGCAAGGCCTGGCAACCTGCTCACGGGGCCTGCAGGTCTTGGTGGGCCAGAGTCTGTTTCCTCACGGTCAGGAGAATGGAATTCCGTGTGACTTCTTGAGGTCTGCCAAGGAGATGGCCCGCTAACCACCTCCGCCCTGCGCAGCTCTGCCCCAAACTCCGCTGAGCTGAGACAGCCCCTTCCCCAGACCCATGGGGCCAAAGGAGGGGGCTCCTCAGCCCCAGGATGGGAAACGGAGGGATGGGTGAGGAGGGGCAGGCCGGGTTGCCCTGGGGCACTCAGGAAGGGGCCAGGGTGGGGGACCCCCTGGCAGGAGCACATGGAGACAGCAGGAGGGGGTCTTGGTAACCCCCAGGAACCAAACCGTTGCCTTTGAATCCCAGAAGGCCCTTCTCAGCTTTGGGACCTCAGATCTGGGTTTCCTTGTCTGTTTCTTCAACAAGGCCCCAGGGCCGGGGGGGGCTATCGCGTCCATCTCTGAGAGTGGCGAGGGACACAGTCTGGCTTGGGGTCAGGGGCATGCTCAGCACAGCCCTTCCCAAGACCCCTGAGAGACCTGCCCATCGAGGGTCAGGGAGAACTGCCCGGGGCAGCGAGTGGCCAGAGCAGAGGCTCTGTTGGTCCACTGAGGGCCTCCAAGATGGGCTCTGTGGGCCTCTGCCCCATGGTCCTGGGCCTTGTGGTTGAGGCTGCGAGCCGTGGCCTGCTTCTTGGGAGGGGCCCGCCTGGCCTCCGCCAGGCTCTGGGAAGATGTGGTCAGCCACTAATTCAGCTGTCCCTGCAGCCACCTGCACACTGTCCCCACAGGAGCCTTCCTCGTGAGACAGAGGGACAGAGATGCCCGCCCTCCTGAGAAGGACCCATCTGTGGGGTGGGAGGGACCCCCAAGCGTCCTGGTGTCTGTGGTTTTCCTGGGCTGCTTTGGCGTTTGGGGTGATGGAGAGGGACTGGTGTAGAGAAGCCACAAAATGGGGCTCTCCCAGCAGGGGCAGGGGACCTGGAGGGCACAGCTGATTCCAATGACTACCATGGGTGGCAGGGGTGGGGGGAGGTGTGGGCTGCCCCAGGAGAGAATAAGCACCTTCCAGCTGTGACTAGAGCCCCCACCCACTCATTCCTGCCCATCTGCCTCCCCAGGTCCCTACGTCCTGGGTGGCCTTGGGCACCCCACACAAGTCTTCTCTTGGGTTTTAGGGTTTGTCTCCAGGGACCAGCTGATGGGACCCGGGCGGTACCCATTTGCTGGGGTATATAGCCTTCCAGACATGCTGGGGTGCTCTCTCCCCTGGGAGGTTTTGCTCAACTCCCTATGGGACAGCCTGCACCCTAGCACAGGCCACACAAGGTTGTAAGTGCCCTTGTACCTGTCTACCTTCCCAACCTGGGCGTTCCCTAACCTGGGCACTCCAGGAGGGCAAGACCACGCCTGGAGTGCCTGAAACCCAGGATGGGTTCAGTAAAGAGGGGGATGGATGCTAGGTCAAAAGAAGGATGGATAGTGGGAAAAATAGAAGGGTGGATATTGGAAAAAATAGAAGGATGGGCAGATGGATGGATGGACAGATGGATGGAAAAATGGAAGATGGATGGATGAGTGGGTGAATGGATGGATGGTGGGGGTGTATGGATAAGTGGAAAGGTGAATAATGGATGGATAGGTGGGTGGATGGATGGAGGGAGGGAGAGTGGGTGTATGGATGAATGGATGTGGGCTGGCTGGCTGGCTGGATGGACAGTGGATGGATGGTGGATAGATGGCTGGATGGATGGTGGATGGATGAATGGATAAATGGATAGTGGGTAGATGGTAGGATGAATGGATGAATAGATAGTAAGATGGTGGGTGTATGGATGAGTGGATGGATAGATGGATGGATGGACAATGGGTAGATGGTAAGATGGATAGATGGTGGATGGATGGATAAAGGATGCATGATAGATGGACAGGCAGACAAGGGGAGAGAGAGGTGGCATGTGCCTGGCTGGGGCAGTGTGTCTGGAGCAGGGCTGGCATTTATTGGGCTCTTGGCATGCTTTGCGGTAGGTGAGCACAAGGAGACTGAGGGAGCTTCACTCATGCCACCGTCCCCTCACCCCTCTCCAGGAGAACAGGGTGTCTGGGAAAGAAGGCGTGGCCGGACGCCAAGGGGTAGGAATTGGAGTGGCGCAGGGTGGCAGGTCCGAAGCCTTTGAGAACCCCAGCAACCACCTCCTGCTGGATGCCTTCCCGTG